TAACTATGTTTTGTGAGAACCAAGCGCTCTCACATCACACCGCGTCACGTTGTGCATATCATCCTTATCGCTTCCCGGAAGCAGAACGCCACAGAACCCTTCCCTCCACTGCAACGCATTCCCAAAAGCTGTCTGGACACATAGTTTAAGGTCAATCTATCTTTCATGGATTTCTCCGTCTCGTTCTCAATGAGCAGGGTGAAAGCCTTTCTGTGTCCTGCTCTAGAACGCTTCCCCCTTTAACAACGGAATGAGCGCAGAATGTTACCATAGGAACCACTGACAGAGCACCATGAAAGCTAAGGATGATGAAAGAAGCTGGGAAAGCAATATTTGAACATCACCCTTCATTTCCCCTCACCTAAAAATTTGTCCGCAATGTTACTTTGAATAAACATTAACAATGCATATTTAATGCAAGGGGATTAAAAACAGGTGAATGGTACAACACAAATAAAGTGAAATGGCTATAAACCACATAGTCAAGCAGTGAAAGAGTGGAGGGGCATGAAAATATCTGTATCTGCAGATTCCCCCACAGCCATGGGAACTGAGGGAGAAGGAAAAAGGAGACTAAGACCTCTGCTGCTTCTTCCTAGTCCAGAAGCTGTAGTGAAATGTGCACACTGGAGAGCCACTGTATATGTAAATTCTTTGTTTGTTAGAGTGATAGCAAAAAATGATAGAAGCTTTTAGTGTTCAGTTTCAAGTCCCTCCTTTTAACCCTTTCCCCTCCACAAAAAAAAAAAAAAAAAAACGAATTCCTCCACCTCTGCAAAGTGCTTAATGGACTACTCCTGTTGGAGAGCTGAGAAGTATCTGCCCTGCCTCACTTGGCCTTGACTGGCTCCCTCTCAAGCCAGCGTACGCGCACCCTCTGCTTATAGTGATACTCCCTGAGGTAGTCCCGCAGAGCAGGGGGCATTGGCAGTGCCCCGATGCCATCGTAGGTGATCCCATTGCAAATGGCTGATCGAGCCAGGCTTTGCAGGCCAAATGGGAAGGTCCGGTGCAGAGGCACAGTGAGCAATGGCTCAAAGAACATGCAAGCGCTAGGGTCCTTGTAGTGTTCCAAAAGTGCCGTGACGGTGGCTGCATGGAACACGCAAGGGTCGTGTGCATCAAAGCTGAAGTTGTGATTCCACTGCTCAATGCGTGCGTGCAGCGAACGGCCATAGCGACGGAAGCTAACGGAAAACAGGTAGTCTTCTTGAGCCGAGTCTCGCAGGAGAAAGGTTCCCTCGGGCCGACCATCCAGCAGGGCTTCAGCCTCATAACGGTCCATCACACCCCAGTAGCAGGGAAGTGCTGTGATCTGTAGCAGATCTGGAACCAAGCAGTGGATGTAGTCAATCTGAGTGTGTACCTTCCAAGGCCCCTGTTGCTTGCTGCTCAGGAGGCCCTCCGCCGAAGCGTGTCGCTGCTTGGGCCTGCGAGCTTGCAAGCAAAGAGTGGTGGTATCATCGTCCTCAGAGTCACAGTTAGCTGCTGTTGCCCCCCGGCTATCGCCTAGGGCCTCACTCATTCCAGGGGCCAACTTAGGTCCCAGTTTATAAATGGAAGCCAGAGGGGCTGTGATAGCCTCCACTGTGTGGATTTGGGCATCTGGAGGTGGGTCAACACCCTCCTCGATGCTGAGTCGTCTTCTCTCTCTCAAGTGCTCCTCCTCATCTTCCGGCGATGCACAGGTAACACCGCAAGCATCTGAGGATGAATCTACTGGTGTCACTGTGACTGGTGCTGTGTGCTGTTTAATGAGGTGCCATTTTCGAGCAAGGTCTGATCCTGGTGCGAAGGGGCACATCTCCAGCATCAGCTCTGTGATTTGTATCTTACGTTTGGGTGGTGGAAGGTGACTGTTCCGAGAGGATGAGCGCAGTGGGAGGCACAGGCCCACTGTGTCATGAATCTGCTGCCATAGGGAGCGTGCTGCCCCTGACTCCAGCTCCTCACGGCTGCTACCAGTCCCACGTCTGCGCCGAGACCGGCCTGATCGCTGATCTGTGGTCTCCAGAGAACTCTGAGCCTTAGTGGAACATGAGTGTCTCTTCTTTCCACTCCAAGGTGCATGACGTGAGTAAGAGTCTCTGCGGGCTCCCAAGGGAGCACGAGCATCTTCGGTATCCTGCTCGACTGTGATCTCTAGTATCTGGGGTACATCCACTACACAGTTATGGACCTGTCGTGTCACACTCCCACCGGTCCTCCATACCACTAGAGGGAGTGCCGCCACACTGCTAGAAGGACTAGCAGCCTCCAGTGTGTTGTCTCCCTGGGCCTTGTCCACACTCTGGCATACTGTGTCTGTTTGCGGTTGAAGATGTGGTGGCATTTCAATTCGAGAACCCCCATCTGTGTGGAGCAGAGATTGACATCCCTTCTTAAGGTTGCTCCACACCTTGCCAACCTTCTCCATGAGGTGGGGGCACCTGGATCTGGAACAAAAAGTTAGACTTCTATTAGTACATGATGACAAATCCCAATGAGATGAAAACCATAGTCATAAGTCCAAAAAAAAGTGGAAGCACAGACATAAGAGTGTGCATGTGGGTTGACTAAGGCCCCATTTATACGTCTATCTTGGGTAATCCAATCACACAAGTTAATAATTCTAAATATAAGTGTTCATCTTCAAAAATGTTTGTTCCACGTTCAGAGGAAGTCAGAAACAAATGTGACCACTTTTCCTGTGTAGTAACTTGTTAAGCTATCCTGAACAATCAATTCATTAAACCAATTTACACATTTATACTTTGCCAACAAAATCAGTATTTTTTAAAGAAACATTTATTAATTTAAATGAGACCAACATATAAAAGACTTACCAATAGGGCTGGGCAAAATAATCGATTTTTCGATATATCGTTTTTTAAAATGTGGTCGATTCAATATCGATTCTCAAAGGCCACGAATCGATTTTTTTCAATATTTATTTCGCATTTGCGACTGAAAACTACTGCGTGCGACTATGAATATGTTTTTAGGAGCACCAGTGCGACTGACCCGATCATCATTATTATTAACCTTTATTTAACCAGGTAAGTCAGTTGAGAACCATTTCTCATTTACAATGACGACCTGGCCAAGAGGCAGCATAAAAAGCAGGTACAATACAATAAAAAACATAAAATTACAAAACACAATTTTAAACAATAACATATAAAACAAACAGATAACTAAAAACAAGTACAATGGTCTTGCACTATTGACTGAATTAAATTTTTAAAGGAAGAGAGCGAGATAAATGAACTAAGCTTTAAAGTCTGTTGCAGATGATTCCAATCATATGCAACAGAAAACTGAAAAGAGCAACGACCAAAGGACGTACGGACTTTAGGTATGTAGAAATTAATGAAACTACTAGAGCGCAGATTACGACTTGTATTATGAATATTAAGAAGTGACTGTAAATATAATGGCGTTTTCCCGATAAGAGTTTTATAAATGAACAGAAACCAATGAATTTGTCTACGAGAATGAAGAGAAGACCAGTTCAATAAAGAGTACAAGTGGCAATGGTGAGTGTTAAATGAAGCTCCAGTCACAAAGCGGATTGCTGCATGGTAAATAATATCCAGTTTATGAAGGAGAGTTTTTGAAGCAGACCTGTAAACTATATCACCATAGTCCAAAATTGGGAGAACTGACATTTTAACCAAAAGCTGTTTTGAAGAATGTGTAAAAGAAGATTTGTTACGATAAAGAAAACCGATACGAGATTTAACCTTTCTGAGCAATACATTTATGTGAGTTTCAAATGACAATTTGCTATCAAGCCAGATACCAAGGTATTTGTAGCATTCAACATAATCAATCTCAGAGCCGTCCAATGAGAGAATTTTAGGCAAATATTCAACCTGTGATAGATTTCTGTTAAAAACCATACATTTTGTTTTATTTGTATTTAAAACTAATTTTAGACTAGAGAACGCACATTGGATGCGAGTAAAACTGGCCTGTAATAAAGATAATGCAATAGTCAAGGAAGAGCTAAATGTATAAATAATAGTGTCATCAGCGTATAAATGTACATGAGAATCACCTACAGCAAGAGCGATATCATTAACATAAATATTAAAAAGTATAGGCCCCAGTATGCTTCCTTGTGGGACCCCTTTAAATAGGGGCAGGGGATCTGACCGAAACCCCTCCACCCTTACTGATTGTGAACGACCAGAACAGTAACTCTTGAACCAATCCAGACAGCTCTCAGATAGTCCTATACCTCTTAGCCTATCTAGCAATATTTCATGGTCCACAGAGTCAAAAGCCTTTGCCAGATCAACGAATGCAGCTACACAATATTGCTTGTTGTCAATGGCACATATGATGTCATTGAGAACCTTAAGTGTAGCAGTGATACAACTATGGCCGGATCTGAAGCCAGACTGAACCTGATTAAGAACATTATAGGTCTCCAGATGGTGCGTAAGCTGCTTGTTGACCAACTTCTCTAATATTTTAGAGAGACAGGGCAAAATGGAAATGGGTCTGTAGCAATTTAGATCTGAGTCATCACCCCCTTTAAAAAGTGGGATTACAGCTGCAGATTTCCAGTCCCTCGGGAAAACACCAATTTGGAGAGAGAGATTAAAAATGCAAGAGATAGGCGCTGCAATAATATAAGCTGATTTCTTTAAAAATAATGGATCCAATTCATCCAATCCGGCAGATTTATGAATTTCCAAGCTAAGCAATTCCCCAAGTACCTCGGTCTCTTGTATCGACTGAAAGGAGAAGGAGGGGGAACCCAAGACAGGTGAATGCATAACAGATGCCAAGTTGGCAGGGGAACAATTAGAAGTATCGGAACTATTCTCGAAGGCACAGCCAGCATTAACAAAATATTTGTTAAAATGATCGACCATTTTTGATTTGTCTGTTATAACAACACCATCATATTTAATTACAGTAGGCAAACAGGAGGAGATGTTTTCATTTTCCATTGATTTGATGATATTCCAGAACTTTCGAGAATCAGTATTATTAACAGTCAAATGATGTTTAAAATAACTTGATTTTGCCTGTCTAATAGACTGAGTGCATTTATTTCGTATAGCCCTATATGATTGCCAGTCAGAGATATTATTAGAAATCTTTGCTCTGCGCCATAGAGTGTGTTTTTGGCGAATAAGCTCTGACAAATCTGGACTAAACCAAGGGCTAAGACGATTTTTTACTCTAATCTTTTTAAGAGGAGCATGTTTGTTCAAAACAGTTCTGAACAAGAATTTAAAATATGCCCATGCCTCTTCAACTTCAGGAATAAGCCCAATTCTGTACCAGTCCATATCAGCCAGGTCATTCAAAAAAGCCTGTTCATTAAATTTTTTCAAAAAACGTTTGAAAACGAGCACCGGAGGATTTCTTAAGGTGGTGCCCTTGCGAACACAGACTATATTACAGTGATCACTAAGGCTTTGACAGAACACTCCAGATGTATACCTCTCTGGCCTATTAGTAAGAATAATATCAATTAATGAACCAGATTCCATAGTCTTAGTATTATATCTTGTAGGGGCCTGCACAATCTGGGACAAGTTAAGTGCATCCAGTTGTAACTGTAAGGATGATGGAGGGTCAAACATATCCCAATTCAAGTCCCCTAACAAAATAAATTCAGAAGAGATGTAAGGAGCAATTATTTCACTTAAAGCAGTTAAAGCACATGCAGGAGCAGAGGGCGGTCTATAACAACCAGCTACAGTGATAAAAAATGTTTTAGATAAAATAATTTTTAAAAGTATTAACTCAAACTGTTTAGCAACAGATTTTGAGGTAATTACTGAGCACTGTAAATTATCCCTACAATAGACAACAACCCCCCCACCTTTAGAAATTCTATCTTGACGAAAAGTGTTGTAACCAGGAATTGAGACAGCAAAATTAGAAATAGATTTCTTAAGCCATGATTCAGAGATGACAAGAATATCAGGATTTGCAGTGTGAACATATGCAGTAAGCTCAGCAACTTTAGGGAGAAGACTACGTATGTTCAAATGCATTAGTCCAAGACCTTTACGATTACAAAAACAGTCAAAAGTTAATGAATGTATAGATTTGTTTGCCAAAATATCTGAAAATGAACAATCAAATGGCCCGGGATTCGGTTGAACATTCCCTGACATCAACAACAAAAGAATGATAAGACATCTCTGTCTGAACAATTTGATGGTAAAGTCCTTATTAACAGTCTTACTAGGTTGAGGTGGCACAGAAAAATTGTCCTGTAAGGCCATAATGCTGATTATACGAACCAAAAAAACTGAACTGATGATGACTGGAGATGATAAAGGCAATGGCTTGCCCCATGGTAGGCAGCTGGTTGAACATGTACTTCTGCCTGATATAAATGGAGTAGACAGAACTGCAACTGGGGCTGAACAGTTATTGAAAACATCAACAGAACTGCACAAATAAAACAAACATAGTGCAGCAAAAATCAAAAATAATCTCCCTTTGAAAGTCAATAAACAGTCTGATAAGAAATAGCTCTGAAACCGTGACATATTGGAATCCAATCCGTGTTTACAAACCACAGATTTAAAAGACAGTGAGTAGCCTAATCCATCAAAAACAGCTCCGGGTCCGTAGCATGTGAAGTCCAGTCCGAGTTTGCAATCCACCGAGTCAGCTGAGAGATGACGTTGAATTTCGCGTGTAAACAAAGAGCCAATACTACCAGCCAGCGCTTTATCGTATCTTTAACCAGACAGTACTCTAGCAGAAGCTGGAAAACCGGAGATCCGGTAAACATCAAAACAGTCAACGGACAACACAGGACCAGTAGTCCAGTAGTTCACATGCAGCTCGTGCGCCACACAAAAACGACGTCCACCCAGACACCGGATCAGCAGAAGCGCAACAGGCCCCGCAACTCGCCGTCAAAAGCACTCAGCCAGCGCCCACAATCCAAAAATGATCGCAGACACACAGAGGCAGGCGACAAAAATGTTCCAAAGACTGGTAAAAATAATGAAGTGCGCCAGACATTACAGAAAAATTAACACAACGCAGAAACAAAGAGGAGACATGTAACGCACAACCTGCTTGCTGCCATCTTGCATCTTGGGATGCAATCATCATACTTGTGATTGCGCTCAGGGGAGCTTCAAATGTTTCTACGTGTTTTTGCAGCGTTGAGTAATGTATCACAGACATATCTCACGAATCCTTTCATAAGCAAAGTGAGAGATTCATTGCGCAAAGTAGAGAGCCGCCTGCTGGCAGTTTGTTTCATTTTTAAAGTATCTTTTCAGTTATTTAAATCATTTAATATTTCTATATTCAAAATTTTATATTTAAAACATTAATATCATCATGAATTTATGGATTTAATTGCACTCATTCCACTTCTGAGCCTCATTAAATGTCTGAAAGTACACCAAGCCACTTTTGTGTTCTTCTGTGCCACCTCTACAAATTAATTTTGTTA